TTAAATAGAACTTTAATTTTGTTCTTACTGGTAGTGTCACAGTTTGAAACAACTTCTACTCCATAAAATAGCGCTGGAACAATGCAGGTTTTAGCTATTAGCAAACGTATGGGTGGGCAGGCAATTTTTAGTTACGGATAATGTCCTTATTATGCCATATGTTTTCCCTACAGACTTTTTAATATGATCATTCCAGGTAAGAGTTCTGTTGAATGTAAAACCTAAGTTTACAGCTGTATCAACGTACTCAAGTGGCGTGCTATTCATACTCAGTGGCTGCAAATTGTTAAAAATTATCTTTCTTTTACTTATGACAAAACATTTTGATTTTGATGGGTTGATCCCAAGTCCATTGTTGCCGGCCCACTCATTTACACGTTCAAGTTCTCTGTTACAAACATCTATACATTCATTTATTCTGTTTAAAGTACGACTCACATACATTTGGACATCATCAGCATACAAGTGTACATTACATTCAGATAACGCATTGGGAAGGTCATTAACATATAAGGTAAACAATAAGGGACCAAGCACAGACCCTTGGGGTACACCACGATTAACATTTTCATATGAGGACGAAACGCTAGACAGTACAACAGATTGACGACGATTTTGTAGGTACGAAGACACAAGTTTGACAGAAGTTTTAGAAAACATAAACATATTACGTAGTTTTGCACAAAGGACATTATGGTTTACTGTATCGAAGGCCTTACTATAGTCCAGTAAAACTAAGAGTGTAACATTGTTTTCGTCTATTTGTTCCCTTATGTCGTCTGCATTTTTTATAACAGCTGAGGTACAGCTTCTGTTTTTCCTAAAACCAGACTGATTATTAGTAAGCATTTCATTGTCGGACATAAATTTATTAATTTGATCAGCCATGAGATTCTCAAATGCCTTTGATAGGTATGGTAAAATGGAGATGGGTCTGTACACATTATTTGATTTAGGAATCGGAATTATTTTTGCCGCTTTCCAACAGTCCGGATAAGTAGATTTTGTCAGTACAGTATTAAAGGTATAGGTAATGTATGGCAGGATTTCTGGCAGCAGAATTTTTATGAATTTAGGGTTTATGTTGTCAGACCCAGTGGCGTCACTCTTAATTCTTAGTATACTTTGTAGGACATCACACTGATTAACACACAAAAACCTAAATCTAATATCACAGACAGTTTCAGATACAAATCGTGGGTTCAGATATTTATTTTCAGTGATTTCAGGTACTGTGCAGCTTAAGAACTTTTTATTAAGTTCATTTACATCTATGTCTTGTTCAAGTCTTGGTTTAACTTTGCATATTCCCAGGTTTTTAATTATTTTCCATGTCTGAGCAGTGGAAGATGCGTTGTTGAATTTATGGGAATAGAAATTTGCCTTGGCGGTGTCAGTAAGTTTGGTCACTTTTTTTTCAATGACTTGAACACTGCGTAAGCTTGAGGTGTCCTGTACCTTCTCCACTTATTGTACGCCCCGTCACGCTGTAATATTGCGTCTTTTAATGTTTCTTTGGAACCATGGTTTTTCAGAAAAACGAATAACTTTGCTACGAACAGGTACGACACAGTTATATAAATAACAAATATTGTTTTGTAAAAGGTTAACTTGTTCGTCTACTTCGGAAAGGGAATATATGTCATTCCAATTGCACAAATTAAAGGTGGAGTCCAAAAGGTCATAGTTGATATTTCTAAAGTCCCTAAAAACTATTGGATGGTCAAGGTATTGCAGGTCAAGTGCGTAAGTTAAGTATATGAGGTCATGTTTTGAGAACGATGGGACAATAAGTTGGTCATATGTAGCTACTTTGTCTGTATTAGACACAAAAAATAAGTCTAAAAGCGAGTTGCGGGTTTCATGTCCTCTGCAAGGTGGGAATCCCTTAAAATATCGCTATTAAAATCGCCTGTTATAATGACGTCTGAATAATTAGTTGACACGTCAGGAATGACGGTATATACACCCAATTAGTACCTTATCAGCATATCTTTGGCATCTAATTTCTATAAATAAGTATTCAATTGCACTACTGGTTGAATGTTTACATATAAACGTGGAACATAACTTTTTACTAACATATATTGCAACCCCACCCCCATGACTATCATGATCAGAGCGATGCAAATTATAACCATCACATTCAACTAAAACATCTCATAAATTAGGAACAAACCAAGTTTCAGAAACACATATAACATCTACACTCGAATTGATAGAGGTATCTAAATTCTTCAGTTTTTCGTGTGAGACTTTGAGCATTTATATGACACACATTAAGACCAGCTCTCTTCTCTCCGAGAACCCTTAACATCGCATGGCTATTTGATCGATTTGGATTTATGTTTATGTTATTGTTGTTGCTGTCACCCATTTTAAATTATTTAATTGTAATATTAGCTGCGCTCGCAGTCTATAAATATTTATGACATAAAGACACACCACACCAAGAAACAAAATAAAATTAATGCGACTGATACTAATCCTAAATAAATATAATAAAACTACTGATAATTTCACAACAATGGTATATAAATATAAGCGCCTCTTAGGTGCGAAATGAATTATCATTTAATGTCCCAGAACTAGCAGCTTCCAGCGCAGCTAATTCATCGGGGGTGCAAATCTCCATTTGAGCCAGTTCGCCCAGACTTTGCACGCAAATGGCCTCCCCTCCCTCTCTCTCCTTTACGAAGATATCTCCACGGCGAGAGAAAACAGCTGTTAGGCGCTTCAGCCTCTTGAGATGCATCGCCCGCTTGAAAATTTCATATTTTGTTTTGGTCAGCTGTTCGTTTATATATATAAACTCTGGCGAGTCTAGGCCGATGAGCTTTAAGCTCAGTTGCGTTTTGTTTTCTTTTCGGTATGCCCCGATCGCACGCAGCAGTGTCGCCTTATCGTGCACGTGTTCCATTTTAATAATTATAATTGGATCCACTACTGTACGGGTCGATTTTCACGGTCGCATTCGAAAAATCGTACGTACTTTAGGCGGCGGGGTCAGTTTGAGAGAGAAGCACAGTGCGTGAAAAAGTGCTTTCACATTTTCCCCCTGGACTTGTGGGACCCAATGCCAACGCAAGTTACAGGCGACTTCAGACGCCGCCTGTGCGTTGCAGGAGGCCACCCACTTTGCCTCCAACTCGTCAAGCGCTGATCCTGGCAGTTTTTAGACAGTTTCGCCTCCAGCTCCTGGACCCGCTGCCTCAGCATCCCCATCTCTCTCACCTCGCTCTCCAATTGAGTGACTCTCAGTGTGAGTTTGTTGCAGTCAGCTGCTATTAACTTACATTTTTCTTCCAGAGTGCCGGTTATACATACGTGCCTCGCCATCACGGATCTCCCCTGCAAGACTTTCCTTTAGCTCGGAAAATCTGATGTCGATCGTGTGAAGCAGTTGAGCATCGAAGTCACGGGCTCCCTTCAGATCGGAGTGAGTTTCCTTCCTAAGTCGCTTTGCTGCTGAAGACATTATTGTGTTGGTGCCGAGAGGGTTGAGTGTTTTGATGTTTTGAGTGTTTTGATGTACTGAGTGTTTTGTCTCTGTGCTCTTGTGTTTTGCTATGCACTGTTTCTTTATTGGATTGTTGTTGCACTTAATTGTGGATTTATTAAGAAGCGATTTACTGCTTAAAACCGATTTATTCCGGGCAACAAGAACTTTAACGTGTTGTACTCTTATTAATGATGCTGCCGTAAGCAGTTTTTAATTTTTTTAAGCCGAGTTTAAGGTGTTTTTCGGTGTTTAAAGCGGAGCTTCACAAAAGTGCGTCTATTTCTCTCTCACGGTTTTTACTAGTTATGCCCATATGAATTAGATTTTGGTAAAACTTTAAATTTAACTACACATTTTAAAAGTATAGATAAAGCCCGTATATAATATATAAGTCTATGCTACAGAATCTAAGTATAGACTAGAACAAGCATTTAAGAGAGCTATATTAATGTTAGAAGCTCATAAGCAGAAACAAAAAATTAGCTATGACAAAAATACTTTAGATTTTGGTTTTAAAATAGGAGATCAAGTTTCATTGAAAAATGAAACAGGGCATAAGCTAGATTTTAAATATAATGGACCCTATAAGTTTGAAAGCATAGAAGAAAAAGATAAAATAGTAATTTCAAAAAATAAAATAAAAAACAAACCGTTCATAAGGATAGGTTAAACAATTTTTATTCATTATTTTCAACAAAATAAATAAGTTCCAATAATATATAGTAATATAAAAAATAAAATAAATACCAATTCTTTCAGATTCCGTTTAAAAAAAATAATAAAAAACAACAACAAATAATAAATAATTAAAACATTTTTAAATTAATGTTATTACGTTATTTCTCAAAAGGGAGGGAGATGTAGTATGCACACATATTGTATACCCACTGTACCAAGAGTGCTTAAAGGGCACACACTGTAACACTTTGTTGCAGTGTTTACATAATCAAAATGTCCCGCAAGTGGCCGAAATTTTAACCGATCGCTATGCCTTGGACTACACACCGAAAGTGCTAGCGCCGGCATAATTGTAACACGAACGGACCACATCTGCATGTACCTCCCGCTCCCGCTTAAGAGAGCAAAGCCTATACACCTCAGCATATACAAATTCAATATGGACTAAAATTTCACCTTTAGATATCCCATTACCTAAAACTCTCAGAATATGGACTATTTTCCTTCTTTTAACTTTATTGGTGGACAATTTTTTTTTTAGGTAAATTGCCTTATTAAAAGTAGTCCATTTTACCAAAAATTTTCCAGCTGCTTTCAAACGCTTTCTGTGAAACCTTTTGATAAAATATTATTGGTGAACACTACAATGTATGAATAAGTTTCTTATTATTATACAGTTAATAAATTAAGTTTTAAGTTTAACTTCGCTTAAATGTTATACTGTAAGATGTATGCTAGAGGTGTGCGGTATTTCGATAGATAGATTTCCAAAACACTTAAAGCTATCGCTATCGTCTTAAAACCGGTGCCATCACTTACAGAAAGAACGAGCATTTCGTAAAGTTTCTTGAAAGTGCAAGTGCAAGTGAAATGTTTTAAAGACAATTAAATGAGCAAGTAAGTAATGCAAAATAACTTTATTTATACGCATTTTGGTATACATTATATACATTTTGGTCGCCACTTATTCACATCCATACACGCATATGTACATATACGAATGAGCAGTTGGGTCAAAATCCCATTAAAATAAATTTTTCTAGAATCGAACTAATGCGCATTTACCATACAAAAGTATGCGCAAGTGGTTATTTATGTGTGTATGTACTATTATATTTATTATTTAATATGTTTATGTTTCTTATTAGATAATTAGAGATGTTGAGTTGAAATATCCAGACTTAGAACTCAGTTTGGAAAATAAGTGGATTACATTTCGAACAAAGTTTAAACAGTTGGATCAAGAAAGGGCAAAGGAGCATTACAGCCTGGATCGTTAAACCAATTTAAATATAATGGTATAGGCGAAGGTAAGTTTTTCTATCCGTATTCATTTTCCATATTAATACGTCTATATTTGCAGTTGCGTTAAATGTTGGGATATTATTTTATTATAAATAAATAAACTCGAGTAATTAATATTAATTAATTAGGATAAGATTAATTTTAAACAAATAAAACAATATAAATAATAAAATTAAAACTAATTCAAATTTTAGTTAGGGCATATATGTCCTGAAAATTGGGCTGATGACAAAAAACTTGGTAAATTGTTATCTAATTTTATGGTCATCTTTGATTGATTTTTTAGGTCGTAAGTGATCTCAAGTCTCAAGTTTATAGATCGCCAGTAGCCTAATAACTCAAGGGTTGTGTTTGAATCGCAAAGGTTTTATTCTTCTCCTTAAATATAGCCTCGCAGCTCTTTCGCTAATGCTACTGCTGCTCCTCGTCGTTGTCCTCTGCGGCGTCGCACCTCGTCGCTATCTTCTGCGGCGTCGCTCCTCTACGTCGACTGCTTGCTGGTGTCTGACTCGTGACGGCTCCACCAAGACTCTGGATGTTATGCGAACCTCACTTTCGGGACCGGTAAGGTGTATTGCCTAGCAGGTAGAACTAGGTTCCGCCTCTTTGCCCAGCCACCTTTATCGCAGACTCTACGCAAGGACTCCCTGAGCTCGATTTAACCACGACCTAGCAATCGTTGGATCTCAGCGTTGTATTCTCACCCTTGTAGACTTGTCGTCATTTGGCGTCTCGACTTAGCGATCTTGATCCGGGACTCCGCACATGATTAACTTCCTACTCTTCTCGCGTACACGCATTCGCTTTGATTCTCCCACTATTACTTCGGGCTGAACTGCGCTTGCGCCGCCCTTTTATATTGTCTCGTTATTCCTTTCCTCCAGCTCGCGTGATCGGGTCCAAGGTCCACTGCCGCACCGTTGATTCACGGTGCGTCCTCTTTGTGCGGGTCCGAAGTCTGCCAATTTACCGTTCGACCCTGTTGCCCTTGCCGTGTGAGGGTCCAAAATCCAGCGTGGTACCGTTAGTTCAAGGTGTCTCCGCTTTGCCCGGGTCCAAGGTCCGTTGTTTACCGTTTGACCTGGGTGCCCTTGACTCCTCCGGCATTCTCGCCTCCTTCGCTGTTGCTATGCAGCTCTCCTGCATCGCAATTTATGGGGAGTTTTAAGACTCCTCACAGCAGTTAACAGCATTTTGTATTTAAGGTACCAAAAGTTTAAGTTTGTTAGTGAGAATGATTTTAATCCATTTATTAAAATAAGACTGGGGATGTGCTGCAATACGTATGATAAGTCGAATAAAACGGGATCAGTTTATGAGAATGAATTTAAAGAGAATAAGGTTGAAGTGAATGAAATATACAAGTTTGTCAAATAACTTCCTTTCCGTTTTTATTCAATGCTCTATAAAAAGTGTAAAAGTGCTCGAAATTAATTCAAATATGCGTCGTTTTCGTTGATATTCTGTGTCCCCTCGTAGAAACCTTCCTCCTTATTTGCCAAGAACTCGAACAGCCACTTTTCACATGAGTGAAAAGTTCATGGACAGGAACAGGTAGTTATCACTTGGAGCTATCTCCGGGCTATATGGTGGATGAGATTAGACCTCTCATCCAAACTTCCATAGCTTCTAACGAAGGGTTTGATCTGGCGTTGTTCTGGTGGAACACTACGCCATTCCTACTGGCCAATTCGAGACGCTCCTAATCGAGTTGTTCAGTTGTTCGCAGAAGATGGCAGAATTAAGTGTATGGCCATATGGGAGCCTTCCTGGTCGTCAATCCCGGCTTGGGTCGATTCACCGGTCTTCGACCACGATCGTTATGGCTTGATATTGTCGTATGTGATCCATTTTTCGTCGTCAGTCACCATCCGCCTCATTGAAGGGTCAAGTTTGTTCCGTTTATCAACATATCGCAGGAGTTGATTCGGTCCAAACATCAAGTTTTTTTTGTATCGAGCCTTCTGCAACTGTTTTAAAAAGGTTTGGATACTAACTGGGCAATGTCACGAGATGCCATATGCCGGTCTAGCTCGATGTACTACATGATTTGACCGGTATTTGTCGTCACCAGTGTCGTTTTCACCGGCTCTGAATCGTCGAAAACATACCTCTGCGGTTCGAACTGCTAGAGTACCATCCCCCAAAACACCATTAATCTCACGGAACGTTTTTCTAGCGTTTTTCTAGACAACAAAATCGCAGTAGCACTAAAAAAAGGCGAGGGAAAACACATACTTAATATCTATTAAAAATTCAGATTTCTTCTAACTTTTTTTTCTAATTTGTCAAAAGATGTTTGGTACACTGACTAGAACCCGCAGGTTAAGACCCTAATCTCATTCTCGTATACTTTCGTAGATCTTGACGTTTATAAGGACAGAAAACGGAAATATCTAAATCAACTCGGCTAGTGATCCTGAAAAATAATACTACAGGTTGGCTAAAAAAGACGCGTTTTAAAATGACTAAATGGCGGGGTTATATTTTTTTAATTCTTATTTTTTATTGGCTACTTGCATTTTTCAAAAGACCACTTACTTTATATGGCTGCCCCGGAATGTCAACAGGTCATCCGATCGACCCATTTTTTCAGCACATTTTTGATAGTATAATTCAAAAGCGAGTTCAATACCGTGCATTAGGTCGTCAACTGTAGTCCAACGGGGTCAAATCGCATCTGCGAAGCGGCTAATTGCCATCGGCTTTTCGGCAGATTATTCGATTTTCGAACGTACCGCGCAAAAGTTCAACTTTAACGATGGCTGTGAGGCAGGTAGCACCGTTCTGCTAGACCCATATGTAGTCGATGTCTCCATTTCCATTCGGGGGAAGAAAACGTATTTCAAAACGCCGCGATTTCGGTTAACATTGTGGTAATAAAGCTTATTGACGTAACCACCGAGGTGGAAATGAGCTTCAGCTGGAACGATGAAATTTCCATTTCAAATAAAGTGGTCTTCGGTCCTTTGTGTGAACTAAAAAGGCATGAAGTTTTAAAAAGCTAATTTTTCGTGGGCCACATTGTATGGTCAGAAAAGCTTTTTTCTACCTGTTGCTTACTTTTTACTCTACGGTTACGAATAAACTAAACAAAAAATGTTTATTTAAAAATGTGTCGTTATTACTTTAAAATTGTGTAACTTTTGCCCTTCCTTGGATTTGGCACTCGCAAAAGTCTTGTACCTTACCGGGGCTCAATAATCTAGTATATTTTCCAACTGGTACACAAAAAACGAAAAACAATTTTGTAATAGGCAAGTGTCATGTTTTTCACAGCTGTTGGTAAAGAAGAAGATTTTTACTCAGACTGGCATTCTTAAAATGACATCAGAAGTATTGAAACCAAACGGTGTCTAAAAAAGACCCTACCATAACCTTCACCAGTTAGATTATTTACTTAGGGATTATTTAACGGATGAAGTGGCTACTACCACTCATTTACTTAAGGACTTAATATAATAATATAAAAGAAAATCAATAATATACCAATTAATATTTTAACACCTCCGAAAAAGAAATACTGGTACAGTATTTGCTTCCTACAGACTCTCTTATAGCAAACCAGTACGTGATGTTATTGTCGGATTGGCACAAGCTGATTGCGAACTGGGAGCTGTAACAAAACATCTGGAGCTACATAGTAACAGCTCCTGAAACTTGTGTCATACAGATGCTCGTAATTGTGCCAACTGTTATACTGTATTTTCAATCGAATTTTTGACTACTTAAACTAAAATTTATTTTCTTCTGGCCAAAACATAAAATTTGTATTATAAGTTCATTTTCAATTTATGAACTTTGTATATTCAGACTTAAAATGGAAATTGAGTTTTAATGGTGGGAGGTTTTCTTAGATTATCGGTGCTTTATTAAATTAGAACCTGAGCGCGGTTAACAGCCTTTTGAATTTAAGGTACCAGACGTTTAAGTTTGTTAATGAGAAGGATTTTAATCCATTAAAATCAGACTTGTGATAAGTATGATAAGCCAAATAAAACGGAATCAGTTTATGAGAATGAACTTAAGAAGGCTGAATATAGAAAGTTAGCTATAATTTTTAAACAAATTTTATGTATTAAAATAAGATTAGGGATATGCTGCAATACGTATGATAAGCCAAATAAAACGGGATCAGTTTATGAGAATGAACTTAAGGAGAAAAAGGTTGAAGTAATTGAAATATATAAGGTTGTCAAAAACCTCCCTGCCGTTCTTTCGTTATTTATTTAATGCTTTATAAAAAGTGTTACAGTGATCGGATTTACTTCAAATGTGCGCCGTTTTGTTTGATGTTCTGTTTTCCCCTCGTGGAAGCCCCCCTCCTTATTTGCGAAGAACTCGAACAGCAGCTTTTCACAAGCCCCTCTTGAGTTCATGGACAGGAACAGGTAGTAATCACTTGGAGTTATCTCCGGGCTACATGGTGGATGCGATTAGACCTCCCGTCCGACCTCCCGTAGCTTCTAAAGATTCATCTTCAATGTTTGTGGTCTGGCGTTGTCCTGGTGAAACACTACACTCTTCCTGTTGGCCAGTTATGGATGCTTCTGGTCGATCGCCTGCTTCAAGTGGTTCAGTTGTTCGCAGAAGATGGTAAACTTAAGTGTCTGGCCATGTGGGATCCCACCAATCCCACCAAACGCACAGCTAAACCTTCCTGGTCAATCCCGGCTTGGCCACAGTTTGGGACGATTAACCGTCCTTCGACCACGACTGTTTTCACTTGATTTTTTCGTAAGTGATCCATTCTTCGTCGCCAGTCATCGTTCCGTTTTAGCAGCATATCGCAGGAGTTGATTCGGTCCAATCATCCAGCTTTTTTGGTATCCCGCCTTCTGCAGTTGGTTTAAAATGGTTTGGAGACTAAGTTATTACATGATTTGACCGGCTTAGCACCTATTTCTGACGGCACCCCACAAAAATAGTCCAAGGGGGTCAAATCGCATCTGCGAAGCGGCTAATTGACATCGACTTTTCGGCAGATTAAAATACTGATAATCCACAAAGTGGTCTTCGGTCCATTGTGAGAACTAAAAACGCATGAAGTTTTAAAAAAGTATATTTTTCGTGGGCCACATTGTAGGGTCAGAAACGCTTTCTTCTTCTTGTTGCTTACTTTTTACTCTACGGTTACGAATAAACTAAACAAAAAACGTTTCGTTAGTACTTAAAAAATTGTGTACCTTTTGCTCTTCCTTGGATTTTGCACTCGCAAATATCTTTTACCTTACCGGCGTTCAATTAACTAGTACATTTTCCAACTAGTACATATAAAACGAAAACAATTTTGACATAGGCAAGTCTCATGCTTTTCACATCTGTTAGCGAGTTGGTACAGAAGAAGATTTTTACTCAGACTGGCATACTTAAAATGACATCAACGGTGTCTTAAAAAAGACCCTACCATAACCTTTACAAGTTAGATTATTTACTTAGTGACTCAATATTTAATTTAACGGATGAATCCATTCCCTGATCCATTCAATCTTGCTGGATTTCCACATAAACATGAGGCATTGATCTTCAAGATACCTTTTCTTTTCTTGCGGTAATTGTTGTTCTTATGCCTTTGATACCGAGTTATCATATGTTTTAATATTAAAATAGAGACGAATTATTTCCTATGGTTATCATTATATTGCTGTTTTTATTCAACATTTGAATAGTTTATGTTATTTTGTCATTTTTAATAACCATTTTACATTCTGTTTAAGCTTGTACACCCTTGCAAAAATTACAAAAATTAAACATTCTATAAAAAGAAAATGGTATAATGAAATTTATTTTACAATTTGGTCCGAATTTACATTCTAGTCTATATAGGAAAGCAGATCGCTGATAAAAAGCAAATGCATTTAACATTCACATACTATAGAAGCTTTAACGACAGACGCTGAAGAGTTTGAGATGACGTGCAAACGAAACTAGCGCTAGTCCTATCTGAGTCCCGGGCTTTCTTCCTAGGGAGATTTATAACCAACTATGTCCTCGAGTTTTTCACATCGATTTATGTATACAAAATACAAGGTCAATAATACCAACACACTAAAGATTTTTAACATATGTAGATTGGTCTTGCTCCAAAAAGATTTTATTAGAAACGACTGCCTGAAACAAAGAAATCATTATTATCTTTTTTTCTTTAAACATAGTATTTATCAATATAAATATGTTATATCTTTAACAACGTAGCTTTTTTCCTGTTCAGTTTCTTTGTTGGCCTTTGGAGACAAAAAGTTAAGCAGTGTAGACACTCGTCCCAAAACCATTGGCTAACATTTGCTGGTCAATCCAATCTCGAGCCAAAGCTACGTTTGCATAAGCTGCTGGCACCTCATCGTTGCATCCAATTCCCCAAGCAACAATACCACTTTGCTGATACCGATTCACAGATGATAATTTAACGGGACAAACAAGGGGGGCTCCTCCATCGCCTTGGCAGGTATCAATGCCACGCTGCCCTCCTGCGCATATAAATGACCTGTCCAATGCAAACCTTGGTCCAAGTCGAGTGCGTCGAAGACGGTCTTGACAAGAATTAAAGTCCACAACGGGCAAGGGCACACGTTTCATTATGACGCTATATTTTCCCAAAGAACCAAAAACATCCTTTCCCCAGCCAGTGGAAAAGCATGTGACGGAGGGTGCCGGCACAGCTTCTTGGTGTGGTAAGCATATAACATTAATGTGATCATCTAAGTTAAGCGGTTGACTCAGAATTACAAGTGCAAAATCATTAGCTATGTTTCTGCTCTTGTATTGTGGGTGTCTAAGAACTTTTTGCACCGTTCTTTCTTGATAAGGTAGACGCTCTTTCGTTGTTTGTGAGTCCCATTCCCCAGCACGAATCGTAAAGGTTCCTGATGTGTGAGTCTCAACACAGTGTACAGCTGTCAAAACCACCTGTTGATGTATAAGAGATCCAGCACAAAAATAACTTAAATTTCCAGAGTGCAGTAAAGCAACAGTCCATGGAAACTCTCCAAACCCAGCTTCATTTTGCGTGACCCCAGCAAGAGTAAAATCTAGTCCACCCGTGTTGCGAATACCGCATCCTCGTGGTTGGTTTGGTCTTTGATCCAACGGCGTGGGATTTAAGGTCTCATTACGCGTCCTATTGTTAGCACAACACACGTCTACAGATGAAGGACAGATTGGGTCATCAGCGTTAAATCGAATATCTATTTCACCAAATCCGTCAAATGAACCGTCTTCAGTGACACTAGTCGTTGACGGATCGCATTTATAATAAGGCACGCAATTGCATTCTGCAGTTTTGCCACTAATGGAGTTAAAATTTGACTGTATACTTAAGGGGTCTATAGGATCAGGCGTAACCACTAATCCAATTCCACTATTTGGTTGCTCAGAACGACTGCTAAATATTTCTTCAATGTTTTTCTGTGCGTTTAAGTTTTGTTGAGGTGCAGGGGAGGATATACTCAATTTTAAAATCGTACATATTACGAACCAAATATTTTTAAAGCCAGTCATCGCAATCTAAAAGAAAATCAATAATATACCAATTAATATTTTTACACCTCCGAAAACGAAATTTTGGTACAGTAGTTGCTCTTATCCACTCTCATATACCAAACCAGTACGTGATGTTATTATCGGATTGCTACAAGCTGATTGCGAAATGGGAGCTGACACAAAAAGTCTGGAGCTAGTTACAAATGCTCGTAATTGTGTAAACTGTTATATTGTTTTGTTTTTTAAAGTAGTTTTGACGGCTTAAACTAAATTTCATTCCTTATTACTAATTAGTTATGTTCATATAAGCATAATTAAAATCAAGGTTTCAGGCCAAAACATGTGTTCTGAGTGCAGCTGAAGAGAGCGGACGTGTTTCGCTCGAGCTCCGGTATAAGTTGAAGATAGTAGATGTTTTAAAGACAAATAAAATAAAATATACAAAACTAAACTGGAAGAAGAAGAGACCGGTACTTCTCGTACATATCAACGCACGATAGCAAAGTGCAAAAAACGTCTACTAAGGGTATCTCGGCCCTACTGATGGTCGATAACCACAGAGCACGGTCTTGCTTCACCTCTCTACTTACTCTTACACCTTCTTCTACGGCGTAGAGTTAGTGTAAACCCCCTACCATCAGACTCGACCACTGGAGCACCAACAATATGCATCGGTAAAACGTCTGCAATTGCACCAAAAGAAATAAAAACATCTACAGCAACGGCAGCCAAATTAGCAACAGAGGCAGAAACGGCACTTATCGCGGAACCTACTGCGAAGTCGTTGATCGCAGCGCCAAATACAACGGCAACAAAACCTCTGACAGCTAATCAAAACCAAAACAATATTCAACAATCGGGCCTGGTCATACAATCCGGCATGGATCGCTACATCCAAAATATACGTAAGCTAAGCCCGTAAAACACCGACGTTGGTAACAAACCAAAAATAAACCGTGTCCAAAGAGACAACGAATTACACGGGAGATTGCCCTCCTAGCTGAAATTCAACTAGAACTGGGTCAAAAGACCCAACCGAACTCTAAGCCCCCACAAATTTACATTAGGGAGAAAAGCTCAACAAAATTGCTCAACAAAATTGTTGCTCTGGTCGCGGACCGAAATTTTGACAATCCATGCATTTTTACAACTTACTTATAGATTGCTTTACAGCTGTGGGAGACTATAATGTTATAATGCAATCATCAAACTGAGCAACAAATTTGACTATGTTTCCCCTGGTAACCCCACATACTGGCCAGCAGACAACAGAAAAGTCCCTGACCTAATAGATTTTGCGGTGACAAAAAACATTCCACATATCATAACTCTTCTTTAAAAGCCCAGAGACCACAGCCCACCCACACAGGTTGACGTCGCACAGAACCAACTAGTTAAAAAATAAAAAATATGTAAGTTCCCACATTGAACTAACGCCGCAGCTCAACATCGAAGCGGACATCGACTACACTACCGATGCTCTTGAAGATATACTCGTTGCACCAGCCACTATTTCAACACCTCAAGGAAAGGACGTGCGAACTACAAAATGAACAGCTTCTATTGGAAAAGAGTCGATCCCAGATCGCCATCCTCAAAACAACGTATTATGGAAACCACACGCACGCTAAACCGAGCCCGGAAAAAAGAAACTATTTAGCCAAACTAATTCAGCAGCTTCCACTGGATCTTAAACGCTCGACCGCTCCTGCGTCTGGATTACAAGGTTTTGCTATACAACTCCACCCCCAAGCAAAACACCCACAGGAACCTCGGGATTCTTGCAGTTGAAGATAAAATGACAAACAAAAGCCGACCTACAATGAAAAACTCTCTGTCCACCCAAATCATCTCGCAAGAAGCTTGACTCGGGTTTCCAGCAGAACCCGCCAACAACACAACGACCTTCCAACCCAGGAATAATTTTCAGGGCCACATAACTCAGTAACAGTCATACGACTGTAAGTTAGGTTATTGCCATAAGATTTAATACACTTATTGTTAATAGCCAAAAGAAAAAGATTAATCAAATAAATAACAAAGCAATTAAAAAAAAATTACGTTTTCAAATTCAATGGTGGAAAGTATTTTTAGATTAAGGTTGCTTTATTAAACTTAAAATAAAGTCAAAGAAGAAAGAAGGTACACTTCGGCAAGTCGAAACTTTTAATACTTTTTACCTTTAACAATTAACAATGTCCAATCGTAAATGTCAATATGACTTCCTTGAACCTTGTTTAAAAATTGAAAACGTGTTTTTCAAGTATTAAAAAAATTCTACATTTTAAGATATATAAAAGCTAAATAATAACGAAGTTATGTACATTTTAATACTAATTTTCGGATACTTCCTTTGTCACTTATGTAATGCTGTCGCATAACTTTAATAAAATTTAAGCCACAAAAAAATAACTATATCTATATTCTATATACTATACTGTAAGTATATACGTACGTGTTAAAAAACAAGAAAGTAACATTTTTTTTGTATTCTACAGTCCTCCGGTCCAACCTACTGCTTGCAAAAAAATAGGACTGATAGCCTAGTTTAAGTAGAAACGGAAGGACAGTAGCTTATCTCAGATTTTTCTTTGCAATAATTAAATCTATTGATCCAAATGAGACAATCAAAAAACTTCAATGGCATGTGCTAGCTAATTGTCCAACCATTAAAAAAATGTCGAATCACTTTCTAAAGGAGAGTTTTATAAACTATCAAAGACAAAACTTTGTGACACAAACTTTGTGACAAAATCCATTGTATGATAAATTAAAATGGCTATTTAATGGTTCGAAAGGGTGGTCCATCTAGAAGTTGCTTTTTAAATAATTATTTCAACTTTAATAGCTCAAATGACATTGCCATTGAGTCAAATATTCATAAATCACAATCTGGATTACATAGTTTTCGAGATTTCATCGCTCATGCGGACGACAGACGGACATTCAAACAGACGAACAGACGGACGGACAGGCAGAAGGACATGTCTAGATCATCTCGGCAATTGATCCGATTCGCGACGCGCTTAGATTTGGCAACCCACAAGGAATGCTCTGTACTGGTTGGCGATAGTTTTGCAATGTACCGACGTTGTGCTTTTTCTTATTTACGTTTTAGGGCCCTGGTGAGTCTGCGAGTAGACTCCTTAAGACATTGCTTCGAGGATGGTGATCTACGAGGCAACAGGTACTGCAAATTGTCTGCTGTCTGGCTCCAGTTCCAACTTGAGTGGTTGCGGCTTCTTATTTTTTTTATTATTTAATTCTTGATGATCTGGGAATGTTTGGCTGACTCAAGTACTGCGTGATTTAAAGTGCCTATTTGTCCTATCATTAAAATATATTTTAAATGTCAAATTCTGCAAATGATTTTCTTCCAGAGGATTCTTTTCCCCATACACATCATTGAACATAAAATTTGAAATTCCGCGTCCAAAAATGAATCCCTAACCAAACTTTTACAGGTTCGACATAGTCAAAAATTTAACTTAGTGTGAAAAAATTGTCGATGCATATATAATAATAATTTTTTTATATAAAGTTGCTAAATAAACAGGTACAAGTAAAAAAAAATTTAAAAGCTTCCACATTCTATTTTTTATTATTATTAGTTATAATAGTTATAATTATTAGTTATAATATTAGAAATGTTGTTTTTATTTGAGCCGGTACTATTCCGGTACCCGCAACCGAAACATAAAATATCGAAATAGATATATTGTAACCGGAACCCATGTTTGATTCGTTTTATTTTTTTCTTAAAAATTAAAAAATATTTTTAAAATTGTTAAATGTTTTTTGAATAAATAAGCAGTAATTTTTAAGATACGAGAAATGTCCAACTTAAAACTTATTTTGATAACCGGTTTCAGAGTTTATTGGCTTTTAAAGTTTTGGATAGTGTTTGTTTGAATATAGCAATGATCCACATTTTATTGTGTAAATATTTATATGTAATATTGAAAGTAAACTTGTCAACTTTCTTTTTTTAGAAACTTATTACCCACAAGCATACTTTTTTTGGTTGCCAAATTCTGTCTGGTTATTTATGTGGTTGAAGAACTAGCGAACAGTGATTTGATCAGCCAATGAAGCACTTATATTTTAAGCTTCGCGACGACAAGGTTATGAATCCAACTTCCAGACTTAAAATAGTCTTAACAGTATTAAGACTTACAATAACCTAATATGACAATAAATTTAACGTAGCGGTTCTTGCTTAGTAGTCTAAAAATATTGTGCGTAAAATTACTTGTACTGTTTGACCAGCGCATTAAATTATAAGTTTTAAAACTGTAGCCGTAGAAAGAATTTTTTAAATAAATTAAATTATATATGCGTCGGAAAGAACAAACTTCAAAATTTTGTTTACGCGATAAGGATATGAATCCAACTTCAAGACTTTAAAAAGTATTAGCAGTGTTACGCATTGGCACACTTACAATATCCTAATATGACAATAAATAAATCGTAGCGGCCTCAGCTTTATCTATACTATAAGTCGAATTAAAATTTTCTTTGGTAGTCTAAAAATATTGTGTGAAAAATAAGTTGTACTGTTTGACCAGCGCACTAAAATATAAGTTTGAAACTTCTAGCCGTAGAAAGAATTGTTTAAATAAATTAAATTTAATTAAATATGATTCGGAAAGAACAAATTCATTTGTGAGATTCCAAATCGGTGCAAGGCGTAGAAGACTTTTTTTTTATTAATATGTTTATTACTTTTTCAACTGCAAAAAATCTTTCAGAATCTGAATTTGTAATTAAATTGGCCGGTATTTTACTACCCTTTTACACGTTTAAATAACATCTTTTTGTTTTTTGCCAACGTAATATGCTTTGGTAAAAACAAAAGCCTTTTGAGAGGCTTTTTCTTGATCGATGCAACTATTACATTTTCTAAAATTAATATTGAAATTCAATAAAAAAATTTTTTTTAATTATGACTTCTCGAGACGCCAGTCAGTTACCAGTATATATGATATTTTTCTTGATTTCAGAAAATTTTAAATGACTTTTTCAACAATTAATGGAACACTTCGCCCTTAATTTCAGAAAATAATTTGTCTTTTGTTTATCCATGTATTTTGGGGTCCTGATTACAAATAAACAGGTCAAAGTTTGCGACGAGACCGACTTCTTGGAAAATAACGTTAAAAAAAGTTATTTCTGTTTTTTTGGCCATTTCTTGTAAAATATGACTTTTATCAAAAAACATAACCAAACAAAAGTTCAAAGTCAATTTTTTGTTTAGTGACTTTTTCGGTAAAGTTAATATTTAACGAGTTATCGACCAAACTAGGTTGCTTTTTAACAGTCATTTTAAAGTGACGAGCTGATCTGGCAACATCACCTAAACAGGGATGAGCAAACTATCTCAACGTTCATCGATACATTGTCGCGTTCCTTAATGTTATCGAAAAATATCGGAATGAATGTTAACTATGTGCGACATATATATGTTATAGTCGTCCGATTTTAATGAAAGTTAAAATATTGAACCATTACTATTTGTCGAAGAACTAAAAAAAATTTAAAAACAGCAAAGTTATAATTTTTTTTTTATTTATTTTTCCGATTGTTCCAATGCTATAGTCGTCCGATCCCGCTCGTTCCGACTTATATACTACCTGCAATAGAAAAACAACTTTTGGGAAAGTTTCATGCAGATAGCTTTAAAACTGAAGGACTAGTTTGCGTACAAACGGACGGACATGGTTAGATCGACTCTCCTAGTGATGCTGATAAAGAATATAAATATTCTTTATAGGGTCGGACTGATATTATAATACCCTCTGCAAGGGTATAAAAACCATAAAGTTTATTAAAAAAAATTAATTGTGTGCTCATTTTGAAATGACGGTTGGAAGGCAAAACTTTTCTGCATTCTTGTCGTAAACTATCAGCTTTACGCAAAATGTCACTATACATGAAATGTATAGTTCATCCCGGTCTCCAACTTTTGTTTAACGGTTTTTTTATAAAGTTTATATTATTGGATTTATTGACAAAAAACCAAAATATGTTTTTACGGATATTTTCCAAGAAATCGGTTTTGTCGCACAATTGTACATATTTTTTCGTGAAAATTAAAAACTGATCGGACGTTGGGGGTTTGCGGAAGTTTACCCCTTTCTTTTTATACTTAACCAACCGTCCTTAGTTTAAAGGATTACAAAAGTTTCATAAATAAATTCATCCTTGAATTTAGGAAAGGTGCTAACGAGTATATTTACCCACAATTTGCACAATTTGCTATACATTAACAATTTTTCGTTTCATCCTTGCGGTTCGTTGCTGATAAAACCGAGAAAAGGCAACAACAATTGCATGGTTTTTTTTTTGGATGGCTAAGTCAAATCAAATTTGATTTTGTCTTTTCCTCAGCTCTACACTGAATTCATTACTTGTGTAGGTGATCTTCTTTGAATGTGTTGGTAAATGCACTCCCATAAGGCAGTTTCGAGCACCCCTGATTTATGTACAAGCAACCATTGACAGACTGGGACAGACATTTACATATGTATGTATATGTAAATTTTAAAGCGCCTATAGGGCAGCTTTGAATGTGCCTACATATGTGCATATGTATCTACAAACAATATATATATGTATGTATGTACATATGTATGTATGTACATATGTTTGTAGATAATAAACTTAACAAAAATATTAATCGAATATTAAACTGTGGCAATACTTGCCCTGTTATGAATTTTGAATGTTTTGCTGCGTTTTTTTTCTTGTTAAGAAATGGGATAAAAAAAATTAATTTGATTCGTTTTTTTAAATATATGTATGTACCTTCCAATTATTAGATTATTAATCAATAAATATTTGTCCGTCTTTCTCAGTTGCTCTGAATTCGGGCGTCTACTGACGTGAGCGTAAAACGAATACGGTAAGTATGTATGTGTTTTGAAAATAACACACACCAAAATAAGTAAAAACAAGCTCACATCCGACGTCACAAAGCTCAAATCGTAATTTTATACCCTTGCAGAGGGTATTATATTTTCAGTCAGAAGTTTGCAACGCAGTGAAGCAGACGTTTCCGACCCTATAAAGTATACATATATATTCTTGATCAGCATCACTAGGAGAGTCGATCTAGCCATGTCCGTCTGTCCGTCCGTCTTTCGTCCGTTTCTACGCAAACTAGTTTCTCAGTTTTGAAGCTATCTGCATGAAACTTTCCCAAAAGTTGTATTTCTCTTGAGGGTAGTATATAAGTCGGAACGAGCCGGCTTGGACGACCATAGCATATAGCTACCATAAGGACAGTCGGAAAAATAATTTAAAAAAAATATAACTTTGCTGTTTTTAAATTTTTTTTTAGTTCTTCAACAAATAGTAATGGTTAAATATTTCAGAATTACGGTTTAAATTTCATCAAAATCGGACGACTATAACATAAAGATCCCATGGGAACAATAAAAACATTAAAACAAAAAAACAAATTAAAAAAATTTTCTTTTTTATTTCGTAATTTTTTTTTTATTAATTTTTAATTATTTATTTATTAATTATTTGAAAGTTCAGAATTACGCTCTTAATTTTATTAAAATCGGAAAATTATATTATATAGCTGCCATAGGAACTCAAATAATTAAACTGCAAATCATCACAGCTTCAATGCTTTTAAACATACACCCAAGTAAATCATAATTTTAATGTTTTCAAGAATATTTAATTCTTGCAATAGCTGCTAGGATATATGAACTTCGCCTTGCCGAAGTTGGCTTCCTTTCTTGTTATTAATAGCGTCTGTACACAGCAGCTAAAAAGAGTTGTAGCGAAAAAGTTGAAGCGACCCATTCACACAGGCACAGCTGATCGACCTACTAGAAGTAAACAAACCTAAAAAGATGATGAAGAGAACACAAAAATGCAAATTGAAATACATTTTAAGCCATCGCAAGTGGAAAGTTTTCCACTGCTAATGATTAATCCACTACTGTTGGCCTATGGTGACCACCCGAGCTGTAGCGAAAAAGTTGAAGCGACCCATTCACACAGGCACCCGCTGATGCAAAAACAGCTGATCGACCTTCTAGAAGTAAACAAACCTAAAAAGATGATGAAGAGAACACAAAAATGCAAATCGAAATACAATTTTAGCAATCGCAAGTGGAAAGTTTTCCTTTGCTAATGATTAATCCACTGTTGGCCTATGGTGACCACCCGATCCATTAATTTTTGCTGGTTTTCCCCATAAATATGAGTGCTTTTACGCGCTTATTGCAGGTCGTCCAGCTTTTTGCCCCGCAGTTCAAATAGAAGTCTATATGTTTCTATTCTTTCATATTATGGAATTGGCATTTGCTCATTCATTCTCATTCAATGGCATTTTCCTTGGCCAAAATGCACCACCACCTCCAAAAAAAATCCCAAAATAGCCAAAAAATTAAAATGTAGAACTTTAAATTAAAAAAAAAAAAATTTCAGTTGCTTAAAAAATAAAAGTATTTTTTGAGAAACTGGTTTATGTGTGTATACATACATATGAACGTACTTAAATAATAAAATTTGTGTTTTCACGATGGTGCAAGCAACCATGATTTTTGGCCAAGACCAATTTTTTTTAAAGTCGTTAAAAAAATGATTTACCGCTTTGGTTAAACATTGCATATCTGTTGAGTTTTCGGCTGTTGCTGAAGCGCAAAGCTATTGTAGTTAAATCGTTAATTTCATCTCAAAGCGTAAAGCCTGGATACAATAAAAATAAAAAATAAAATATTGAGTAGAAATTAATGAAAATTATGAAGGCGGGTTGAAATTTTTAGAACGACTCAACTTAAACGAACTTTTTCCCCATCTCTACGCTCCTATAGTAAACCTATATGATTAAAAAACGAGTTTGACCTCAAATGCAATAACGAATTCCAAGTGTAAGCAGTGCATTGAAGTTTCAAAAAGAATCAAATCACTATGAACGGCAGTAAATGTAGTGACAATTATCACCGGAAAGCGTGTGCAAGGGGACATTATATATAGCCGCAATATTCAAAGCTAGCAAAGAATAGTCCGATCTTAAAAAATGATATGGCAATCAAAAGAGTTTGTGCATACTAAGAGTTTTAGAAAGTCATTTGGTTTCGGAGAAATGGGAGTGAAAATGGAGTCATGCGTTAAATCAATGACTAATAGTTATTAATACGATTTGTGTTTTTGATGGTAAATAGTAGATATTGATTAAGGTATCCGTCCCTTTAGCCTTCTGCAACTTCTAGCCTCAAAAACACTAAAATCTTGTAGTGAATTGTACATTTTATATAAAGATACATATGTACATATATATTAAGGTCAGCTCTGCCCAGCTTTTAAACTTGCTCTTAGGCCTGTTCCAGTGACTCCCCTTATTATTATGCCCCTTATATGATGGGAACTTTCCTCAGGGAAGTTCCCTTTTGGTGAGAAATAAAACTGCTACTAATGTGCCGCTAATGCACTCAACAAACGCCGATATTTTGACTTAGTTTTTCACGCAAAAGGCTGATCTAAATTTGGCTCGCGGTTCCTAGTCTATATTTATTGGAACTTATAAAATCAATCCAGTCATTGGTAGCCAAAAACAACAAAAATTTGTTTTTATTTCTTAAACATTTTAAAAGTTTAGACTTTTAAAAATAGGATCATATTTTCAAGGCTTTTTCAGTATTCGACTGATATTTTGAGACACAGTCAATTCGGTGACGTGGAGTCGGGCCATTAGAATCGTTTCCCAATCTTTCAACTCGTTTTTCTCGAAACTACTTTTTTTGAGGTGGCTGGCATGATACTTCAAGTTCTACTGAACCGATTTCTTTAAAATTTGGTATATATTGTTTATATTACTCACTATCGCGTCTGCCTTGGTCATAAAAATGGTGATTATAAGTATTTTAAAAACATTTGGAAAGGACGAAAAAATTGTTTTAAAAACATGTTTTGTTATTAAATTTTCGCCATTTTCTTAATTAAAATAACGGCATCGGCCTGGCCGACGTCATACTGCATACTGGTGAAACGCTGATGACATTGAGCAGTGGTGAATTTCGGAACTGCAGGCTTCCAACATATTATTGAAAATCTAATCTAGAAATCAGCTGCTCGGGATAATATCAAGATTTGTCGTTTTGATTTTAAAAAAATTTGGCGAGTAAAAACCACAATTTCTATTTGCCTTTAAAATATATTTAAATAAGCTTTTATTCCCGCGTTGAAAAGGTAGGATCAAAAATTTTTTCAGGATTTTATTGAAAACAAATGTATTTGTAAGTAATTTTAATTTCAAACTTATTTCAAGAAACAAGCTCAGTAACTGGGATTGTAAGGTATTAGTAATTGTCTAACAAAGTGCTTATTCTATCCATTGTGATATAAGCTATTTTCAAGTGAGCTAAATTTAAGTTTTCATTATACAATGAAAATGTCTTATAGCCTCTCCTCTCAGAGATCAATTCACTATCCGTTGTACGAATGGTCCAAACGGTTTTGCCTTTCCAAAAATGTGCCAGTTTTACGCGACAGTTATCCGGTGCAACCCACTTGCTAAGCAAGCAACCGCTGGGATTTTTGAAAAATGTGAAACTCCGATTTCCACAGAGCACATGAGCCATCTGATCACAGCTGATATGAACATTAGCTCATTGGACTGTATAAATTTAATATAAAAAATATATATATATATTAATATATATATATAAATCTATATATAATATGTGCTTAAGCCCACCAACTGGTAACAGCTGATCTGAACAGCTGCATCTGTCATCATCTTTTTTATTGTGTTAAAGAGCTGATGTTCATATCAGCTGTTATCCGATGGTCGTATGATCTGTGGGAATCGGAGTATATATATATAATATAATAATAGTAATAATAATAATGATAATAATAATAATAATAATAATAATAATAATAATAATAATAATAATAATAATAATAATAATAATAATAATAATAATAATAATAATAATAATAATAATAATAATAATAATAATAATAATAATAATAATAATAATAATAATAATAAAAATAATAATAAAAATAATAAAAATAATAATAAAAATAATAATATCAATAATAATTATATTAAATTACATAACAGTGGGGGCACCTCCAAGCCAGACCATACAAAAACAGACGCAAAAAAATAAAATTATCAATATAATCGCTCACAGAGCTTGTTCCAAAACGCGGAAAGTGGATGTGCTCTGTGGAAACAATTGTTTCACTTTTTTCAAAACTACCAACGGTTTATCAGGGATGAATGTTAAAAGAGAGTTGCACCGCAGAAACATCGGCTAACTATCGCATGAATTAGTCCGTCAAAGTCTGTCAAATTTTAACGGCGACTAACTGAGAAGTTTTTGAAACGGCAATACCTTATGCACCACCCCTTCAACGGAGAGTGGAAGGTGGATGGATCTCTGTGGAAATTCGCTATAACGGACCATCCCTTCAACAGATGTTGGAATGTGGATGGATCTCTGTGGAAATATGCTATAACCGGACGTTTCTAGCCGATATTAAGTCGTGGATGTGCTCTGAGGAAACAGGAGTTTCACATTTTTGAAAAATCCCAACGGTTTTTCAGGGATGGACTGCAGAAACATCGGCTAACTATCGCATAAATTAGTCTGTCAATGTCCGCCAAATTTTAACGACAGTGCCGTATTTAAAATAAATGCGATTAAAAATCATTCGGCCGAACGTTTTAAGAAAAAATACCGATGGTTAATGATATTTTGTTTGTGCCATCAATACAACGGGTGTTTTCTATATGCACTTTGATTTCTTTCGAAAATATAACAAGAGCGCTGCAAATTCTGCTCGCAGACCACAATGCACTAGTGCTGCATCTCTGGCAGGAAATCACTCCCAAAATAGGGTGATCTCTGCCCGTTTTAGAAACTGTGGCGGTCTCCATTGCAAACCCGTCAAACAACACCAGCAGCTTCCCTTTCCTGTCGTCCAAGTTGGCTAATAGCTCGCCCGCATTATGGATGTCCTGCTGAGCATTAAAGAGTTGAGTTAACTCATTCATATTCATTATTTGTAATTAAGTTCTTTTGGATTTGCCAAAATTCAAAAGTAAAAAGTAGCTAAATGCTAATGCGCCATTGGAACCAGTCATATTTAATAAGCCCACTAATGCGGCAATGGAATCACGCTATTACAAACTGACCTTAATGCTTTTCAGACATGGTGTTCTATTGGACTTAAATAACACTAAATTCACAGTGATCACATTTTATCGGGTCAACCCACAATATGACACGTATAAGTTAGGTGCTTGTGAGTTGACAAGAATTAAACATGATGGCGTCCTTTTGGACCCAAAATTTAAGTTTATTTACCATATTACGTCCATGCTAAATGAAACCTGGGGAGTGCTTCGATTATAAAAAGTTGCTTTAAGGAGTTTAATGATCCCAATGTCACAAAGCGTTTGTTTGTTTCATTAGTTTGTCCAATTCTGAAGTATTGCTTATTGGTTTGGAGTCCCCAATATGGTGTTAATATAGACCGGATAGAGTCTGCGCAAAAGAACTTTTTAATGTTTGCTCTACGAGACCTTAATTGGGATGCAAACCTAATCTTACAATCCTGAACTAGAAGACTTCTTCCTATTAGTTTACCAACTTTAGCTAATCGTAGAAAGATGCTTGGTATTACTTTTATTCGTAAACTTATTCACGGAGAAGTGGATAGTCCGGAGTTCCTGGGTCACCTTAATTTCTCTGTGCCTAATAGAATTTCTAGGAACTATATTCCTCTTACTTTAAACCATTGCCGATTAAACTATGATATGGATGAACCTTTTAGTACTCTGTAATGACTGTACCAAACTCTATCATATAATTTATACTACCGACTCTTTACCAATTTTGAAATCATTAATCTTTTTGTATGAACTGACTATAGTGCATCAACGTCCAATATATGTAATTATTATTGCTTTTGGATTTGGTGGACTTAGCTCTAGCCCATTTTCTTTTGCCAAGACTCTTATTTTGTCAAGTTCAAAATTACAAGTGGTTATACAGTTGTTTATTTCTATTAACTGTCGACTTACATACATATGAACGTCATCGGCGTACAAGTTATTTGCTAGATCAATAATGTAAAGGAAAACAAAAAGGAAAACTTGACATTCTAGATCAGATAAAAAGGACCTAATAAGACTAGTTGCGGAGGCTGAAAAACTATGCAATTTAATTACCTTAAAAAAGAGGCATCAGTTAAGGTTAAAATTGTGTCAACATTTTGTTTTGACATTTATAGAAAGAAAGCGTTTCCGGCCCTATAAAGTTTATAAAGTATGTATATTCTTGATCAGAATCAATAGCCGAGTCGATGGCTAATGTCCGTCTGTACGAACGTCGAGTTTTTGGAAACTATAAGAGCTAGAGAAAAGGTTTCAGAAAATATTTTAAAAATATTGTATCAATGATATATTAATCTTTAAAAATCAATCAAATTGATAAACTACTTATCACCCGAAACAAATCGATATATATCGATATATTTTTTATTTCAATACATATTTTTTAAAAAATTCTTTTGTTTAATAGCCTGATTCCATTGCCGCATTAGTGGACTTTTTAAATGTGCCTGATTCCATTGGCGCATTAGCATTTAGTTAATGCTACTCCGACATGTGAGTGGCACGAACAGCTGATCTGGGCTTGTTTACTTTTAAATTTTGGCAAATACAAAAGAAATTAATTAAAATTAATGAACATGAGTGAGTTTACTAAACTCTGTAATGCTCAGCAGGACATCCATATTGCGACCGAGACATTTGCCAACTTGAACGACAAAGAAGAGAAGCTGATTGCGTTGTTATGACGGGTTTGCAATGGAGGCTACCTCAGTTTCCAAAAAAGGCAAGGATCCCCGTAAATGTGGAAGTAATTTTATGCCAGAGATCCAGCAATAAAGCATTGTGGTACTGCGAGCAGAATTTGCAGCGTGCGCTCTAGGTTTCAGTCATTTTTTTACAAAATAGATTTTATATTCAAAAGACATCAAAAATTGCGCCAACCTTGCTTATAGAAAACAGCTGTTGTAGTGGTGGCACGAACAAAATATCGTTAAACATCGGTATTTTCCAGTATTTTTTCTAAAAACTTTCGGGGCGAATGGTTTTTAATCGCATTTAAAAATCGCATTTATTTTAAATGCGGCATTTAGCCTTATGGGATTCCCTGTGTAAATAAATGCGCATTTGGCTAAATGCGTTTTAATGCGGCAATGGAATCAGGCTATAAGTTTTCACATTTTAATATTTTTTATTACATTTAAGAAGAAACAACTGAACATTAAAAGGAAAATTTTCCTATTTTTAAACATTTTGTATTAAATAACTTAATATTTATAATTATTATCCGGATTCCATTGGCTCATTAAAACGCATTTATTTACACAGTGAGTCCCATAAGGCTAAATGCCGCATTTAAATAAATGCGACCTTAAACCATTCGCCCCGAACGTTTCTTATTGCCACCACTACAACAGCTGGATTTTATAGCCGGATTCCATTGCCGCATAAGTGGACTTTTTAAATGATCCTGATTCCATTGGCGCATTAGCATTTAGCTAATGCTACTCTGACATATGAAAGACACGTACAGCTGATTTGGGTTTGTTTACTTTTGAGTTGTCTCAAATCAAAGAACTTCTAGTGTTGGCTATGCAGCTCGACAGATATTATGTTTAAAATTTATTAGCTGAGTAACGGCTGTCTTATAGTCTGGGAACTCGACTATAGCGTTGTGTCTTGGTTTTTAAATCGCCTTTATCAACTTTTTTTTAAACATTTAAATAACAATTTTACTTAATTATATTTTTGTTATGTTAGGTTAGGTGTTTTGGTTTCAAATTGTACAGGAGAACTAGAATCTTGTTGTTTTTAGTAAAGAAAAACAGACGCATGAGCTTGACTTAAGTGAAAAGTTTGGTAGTTAGAAACTGCTATGTGAGTCATCTAAGCGTAAATAAACCGAGTCCATGGTAACGGGCACTTCTGTAAGGTCAGTTTCAGAAAAGGAATCTGTCATAATTTCAATTTGTATACCCTTGCAGAGGGTATGATAATTTCAGTCAAACATTTGCAACGCAATTCTTTATCAGCAGTCCTAGAATAGTTTACCTAGTCATGTCCGTCTGCCCGTCTACGTAAACTGGTCTCTCAGTTGTAGAACTATCTGCAAGAAACTTTCGCAAAGTTGTCTTTTTATTGCAGGTGGTATTAAATTCGGAACGAGCCGGATTGGACGTTTATATGAAATAGCTTTTTAACTTAGTTCTTCGATAATTGGTAGTGGTTTATTATTTTAGAATCACGGTTTAAATTTGAATAAAATCGGACGACTAGCTTTCATGGGTTGACCGGAACTCTAAATAAAATTTTAATTTCTCTCATTTTTTTAAATTCTTTCGGATATAACAACAGATTAATAATTCAGAATTACCCTCTTAATTTTATTAAGATAGGGAGACGATATCGTACAGCTACCCTAGAAACGATAGAATATTTGAGTTTAAATCCATTGTAGCTTCAATTTTTTTAAACATAAATGCAAATGTTTTGAAATTTACGTGTTTTAAAGAATAATTAGTTTTTGCAATAGCTGCAAGGATATACAAACTTTGTCTTGCCGAAGCTAGTTTCCTTTCTTGTTTAGCTTATAACAAGGCACTTGAATTTTAACGGGTTAATTTTAGGAACACCCGACCACTCAATTACACGTGCACGTTCATGGTTACAAACATCAAGACATCGCCAGCATATACATAAGTGCATAGTAAAGTCAGATAACTTATAAGGAAGGTCATATACATACAAAGTAAACAATAACGGGCCGAACACCGATCCTTGTGGAACACCACGGCTTACATTTTCAGATTAAGACGAATATACAAGCAGAATTTCTGAAAACCAGTTTTGAAAGCAGCACAAATACTAAATTGCTTCAGGGGGCGATTAAACGTCGACAAAGTTTTGAAAGACTTAATTAATAAAGTCAGATCGGTTAGGCCGACTGTTTTTGAATGAAAGTATTTATCCAATAAGCCTTTTTAATATATAAAATTTATATTTATATTATATATTAATATATTAGGACTTTATCAGTTACCAATTTTAATTTATCTTAAAGCGCTTAGACTTAATACACCCTGCGGTTTCAGTTATTAAGAAAAACATGTTTTAAGGACCTATGATAGGCAAAACTCACTTGCTTGACTTCAGTATTCAATTAGACATGGCCAATTCATGGTATGTTTAAAAGTCTTGTCTCGATTTAACTTTTCTTAATCTAAAGGCGACCTACATTTAAGCAAAGGTAAAATAAACAATGGAATTTAAAATGCGCAGTGATCACTTCATATTTAAATTATTGTATTATATAGACTAGTAAATCACAACGCAACTTTGAACGAGACTATAAATTTTTTGCAGATTTATTTATATTGTGATATCAAAATCTTTTATGACTATTAAAACTAAAATCTTTAATAAAAGATGGCTTTTATTTATTTAGTTTAGATATTAAGGGTGTGCGTGTTCTCGCAGCTCACGGTGCTCTGGCTTAAAAATTTAGTCGATTAAAGCATCGGCTGGTTGAAGCTAGCTTCCGTTCAAGCTTCATTTGTTCATTTGTTGCCTGCCGCTATTTTTGATAAGTGCATAATAATAGATATCAATAAAAGGTTTTTGCAGTGCATGTGAATTTTTGTTGCAAAAGAACGGGATTCCCACTTTAACATATTTTACAATCTAGTAAATTTTAAATTGATTGAAAAAAAATTTAAAAGTCACGATAGAGAAAATTATAATGTCAAGGCTAATAAACTACTTCAAAATTTTTAGACATGTGTGTTATTTACTTTTACACTTTATTTTCTTGCCATTCGGTTAGTCCAAATTTTTATTGTAACTATAAATTATTTTTTTTTATCATAGATAATGACGTCAAGCCACATTGGAATTTTCTAAAGGTATTTCTGTGTTTCTCTCTTGTCTTCATTTTTGCTTCTGTCAACTTTTTAAGGGTATATTGTATTCGTTGCAAATCCGTCAATCTGTCCGTCTGTATGATCGTCGAGATCTCGGAAACTATAAAAGCTAGAGACATGCAACTTGAGGAGTCACGCCCACTCGAACGCCCAAAAATCGTGAAAGTATGTAGTGCCACTCTTACACATGTCAGACCATAAGTGTTGGACTTTGTGTGCATGTTTCGGTCATATTTTCAAAATCAAATATTTTCAAAATTGAGCTAATATTTAAGAAGTTATCAGCCCTGTTACAGTTTTCACTTCCAAAAGGCTAACACCGATTCGAATTTCCCAGACCTGTTCCAATTTTCACTTCCGAAAGATTTACACGGAATCTAAGTTCCCTCTCTTAATTCTCTGTTAACTTCCGCAATAAACTCGGGGAAACTTTTCGGCAAGCATTTGGCTGACGGATTCAGATCCGTAAGAACAGAAATTAGTTCTTTTAAAATACTTTGTCATAACTTAAAGTGCAAATTCAATATTTACCTTACCTGTTTTAAGAACATAAAAGACTTGGTAAGTAATAACATATTTGACTTTTTAAAAATTATTTTGTGATGGAACCTCAGAATCGCGAGGATTCTAACCTACTGGAGTTCTGCAATTCCGCCGCCCCTGATCTAGTTTCCGAACGAATTTGATAGAAACAAAGTATAGGTTGTCATGGTACGAGCAAAAAATTATTTTTAGGGGCTTATTTTTAGCAAGCGCTTTTCGGTTTGTTTTATATGGTTAGAAGTGTAAAGTATCTAAGTTTAGTTCAGTTAATTGTGCAAAGCGTGTTGTGTTGGGACCTTTTTCATCGTCCTTGGCAACTTTGGTCCCAAACACTACTCATGAAAGGTTATCAACACTGGGGCCAAGCAAATGATTCACGCACAAAATTTAAAATACAAAATGTAACATGGTAACATGGGCAATCCAGGGATGCCCTAAGTCGGGTCCAATTTTCTCAATAAGGAAAATAAATAAACCTTTGTCAATCCGGTATGATTTCAAAAATCTGCAAAACTTTCAGTTATTAAAGTAATTTCGAAATAATAGTTACTTACTGGCGATCTGGCATATAAATAATGTTATCATTGCATCTTAAATTTCGGTTATTGCGTTTAAAGTCCAACAGTTGTTGTCTTCTCAACTCGTTATTTGCCAAAAGTTCCAAAAAAAATTGTTAAAATCAAACCAACAATCTTTGTATTATTTCGGGCAACACAGCCGATTTCCACACAAGTTGTTCAACACTATTGTTGGTCATTGTTAAAGGAAGTGATGAATCCCTTAAAATAAGTAGAATTTGTTTTTTTTTTTTTGCTACCAATGATTGTTTGACTGATTTTAGATCTGCGCCGGAAAATCAAGGTTTGATCGGTGGAGGATTTCATCAATTTAAATTTGTAAAGCAGTGTAACAAGGCTATTTAGTCGAAGTGTGGCCTCATTAGTTACCGTAATTTTTTGCTTTGGAAGGTTCGCTCCTCGAGAAAATAACTTTGCAGTAAGCTATTTAGTCGCCGATTTCAGCGAATTGCGAAGCAATATTTCATTGAGACTAATGCTTAGAATGCTGTACAATAATGTTGCTTAAAATGGTTTTTTAAAGCTTAGAACTGTTAATACTTTTTTAAGATTTATTTTTAAGCCCTTTCGCTCAGGACATTTATATTTGTGTATTTTAATAAAAAGGCATACTTAACAGAGATGTTTAAAAATATATAAGTATTCGATTACTTCTTTGCAGAAGTTTAAATCAATTTGGTTTCTTCCGAATAGGTGGTCTCAGCTGCTTATTGTGCTTATTGTAACAAAAATAGTAAAATTTGGAAATCCCATGAATCCCTTTTATGTTTTTCCATATTTCTTGTAAATTTAGCTGTCTGGTATAACAACTTTTTGGACCTCGTTATCTGCAACACTTCTATTTTTATAACTAGTCTAACTCCATCGACGGATCCCTTTCCTTGTGAGCTTGCAAAAAAATGCATTATTGACCCGCACTGCAGGTGGTTTACAAAATCAAAAAGGGCTGGATAGTATCCATTCATTTTTAAACTGAGAGCAGAGCCTTCAAAAAAATTCATTTTTTTAAAAAAATTCTTCCAATGCGGACAGTTTTCTTTGTGTTCCACTTTTTTTTGTCATATGCTAGAGGAGTAAACTGATATTTTAAATCTTTTATGCACTTCTAGCAATTGCTTTTCATGCACTACTAACGAGTAACAGGTATAAAAACAGCTAATCTTCAGAATTGTATTGTGTTTCGTACTAAATAATAATAATAATAACGTTTGGAGTTTAGCCAACGCAAACTGTGCACCCTGGTCCCAAAGTAGGTCAAAAGTCGGTTTTTTTTTTGATTTAATATATGCCAATATGCAAGTTCATGCAATATTGAATAAAGAGTCAAAAAATCTACTAAAAAGAGATTAATTAGTTAGCTGATCGAAATGATTGTGAAGTAATTGGAATTGATTAAAATGTCAAGTAAAAAATATAAATATTTTTATAATTTCGACAAAAACTTAAAAAACGCTGCATTTTTTCGCAATGCGTTGCTTAGCTTTAGAATTCCTTTCGGTTACCCCACGGAAATTAAGTGATTCCTTTAAAATTAAATTCATTAGTCAGAAAACTACCAAAGTCTTTCGTCGACTTCGACCATTTTTGCTTTAGTTTTCGGGAATTTCAATTTTGAGTATGAACTTAATTTTTTCTCAAATCTTCTCATACTAAAACTGAAATACATACACAAAACTTATAACAATACATACACTGAAGAGCCGTATGATGTCATCATAAAAAAATATGAATAAAAAAATTTTTTTTTTTTTAATTTGTGAATATGCAGATGCAAAGATGAATGAAAAAAAATAAAAACAAGAAAGGAATCAAACTTCGGCAAACCGAAGTTCATATACCCTTGCAGCAATTGCAAAAATTAAAGAACATTTAATTGAAATTATGATTTACTTGCGTGTATGTTTAAAAGCCTCGAAGCTATGATGATTTACAGCTGAATTATTTGAGTTCCTATGGCAGCTATATGATATAGTTTTCCGATTTTAATAAAAAATAAAAAAAGCGTAATTCTGAACTGTCAAATAATTAAATAATCAAAAAGAATTTCTAAAAAAATTACATAATACAAGAATAATTTGTTTTTTTTAATTTTTATTTTTCCCATGGAGCTTTATATTATAGTCGTCCGATTTTGATTAAATTTAAACCGTAATTCTGAAATATTTGACCATTACTATTTTTCGAAGAAAAACAAAAAAAATTTTAAAACAGCAAAGTTAGAATTTTTTTTCATTTATTTTTCCGATTGTTCTTATGGGAGCTATATGCTATAGTCGTCCGATTTTGATGAAATTTAAACCGTAATTCTGAAATATTTAACCATTTCTATGTGTCGAAGAACTAAAAAAAAATTAAAAAACAGCTAAGTTATAATAGACGGACATGGCTAGATCGAATCTCCTAGTGATGCTGATAAAGAATATATATACTTTATAGGGACGGAAACGTCTCCTTCACTGCGTTGCAAACTTCTGACTGAAATTATGATACCCCCTGCAAGGGTATAATGTTTAAGATTTATAGTTACAGTTTACAGTTTACAGACGGACTCCCTGATTCAAAAAATGTCACTCAAGATTTTTTGTATGGTACCATTTTTTAAAGTGTGTATAACGTTGTTCACCTGTTTTCATGCCAATTTTATTTCTTATTTCCAGTTCTTTTTAACCGATTTCGGTCTTCGATAGCTTATTTAACTAGAATTAGATAATTCTTCAATTTTTAACGATAGGTTTCCTTTTATAGATGTTAGAGCTCGAAAAAGTTTGAATAAAATGCAAAAACTGAAGTTTTGACAACATAAATTGAAACCCGAAAATAATTTTATCACTTTATCTTGAAGTTGAAATATTCACGATAAAATAATAAATAAAATAAATTAAAAAAATAAAATAAAATTGACATGAAATCAGGTGAAAAACGTTATCTACACTAAAAATTAAAAATAAAATTATGGTACCATGCAAAAAAATCTTGAGTGTCAATTTTTGAATTAGGGAGTCCATATGCACCGAAAAATCAAGGTTTGTTGTCTGGAGGCTTTCATCGATTTGAATTTGTTCTATATTATTAATATTGGCAGCTCGGGACCAAAAGTTGATAAATCTAAACCACTTAATATTCTTTAGTGATAGAAAAAAAATATTTATTTCTTGTGGGTTCTACTTAAATATGCTTATTGTGCTTATTGTAACAAAAATAGTAAAATTTGGAAATCCCATGAATCCCTTTTATGTTTTTCCATATTTCTTGTAAATTTAGCTGTCTGGTATAACAACTTTTTGGACCTCGTTATCTGCAACACTTCTATTTTTATAACTAGTCTAACTCCATCGACGGATCCCTTTCCTTGTGAGCTTGCAAAAAAATGCATTATTGACCCGCACTGCAGGTGGTTTACAAAATCAAAAAGGGCTGGATAGTATCCATTCATTTTTAAACTGAGAGCAGAGCCTTCAAAAAAAATTCATTTTTTTAAAAAAATTCTTCCAATGCGGACAGTTTTCTTTGTGTTCCACTTTTTTTTGTCATATGCTAGAGGAGTAAACTGATATTTTAAATCTTTTATGCACTTCTAGCAATTGCTTTTCATGCACTACTAACGAGTAACAGGTATAAAAACAGCTAATCTTCAGAATTGTATTGTGTTTCGTACTAAATAATAATAATAATAACGTTTGGAGTTTAGCCAACGCAAACTGTGCACCCTGGTCCCAAAGTAGGTCAAAAGTCGGTTTTTTTTTTATGTTAATATATGCCAATATGCAAGTTCATGCAATATTGAATAAAGAGTCAAAAAATCTACTAAAAAGAGATTAATTAGTTAGCTGATCGAAATGATTGTGAAGTAATTGGAATTGATTAAAATGTCAAGTAAAAAATATAAATATTTTTATAATTTCGACAAAAACTTAAAAAACGCTGCATTTTTTCGCAATGCGTTGCTTAGCTTTAGAATTCCTTTCGGTTACCCCACGGAAATTAAGTGATTCCTTTAAAATTAAATTCATTAGTCAGAAAACTACCAAAGTCTTTCGTCGACTTCGACCATTTTTGCTTTAGTTTTCGGGAATTTCAATTTTGAGTATGAACTTAATTTTTTCTCAAATCTTCTCATACTAAAACTGAAATACATACACAAAACTTATAACAATACATACACTGAAGAGCCGTATGATGTCATCATAAAAAAATATGAATAAAAAAATTTTTTTTTTTAATTTGTGAATATGCAGATGCAAAGATGAATGAAAAAAATAAAAACAAGAAAGGAATCAAACTTCGGCAAACCGAAGTTCATATACCCTTGCAGCAATTGCAAAAATTAAAGAACATTTAATTGAAATTATGATTTACTTGCGTGTATGTTTAAAAGCCTCGAAGCTATGATGATTTACAGCTGAATTATTTGAGTTCCTATGGCAGCTATATGATATAGTTTTCCGATTTTAATAAAAAATAAAAAAAGCGTAATTCTGAACTGTCAAATAATTAAATAATCAAAAAGAATTTCTAAAAAAATTACATAATACAAGAATAATTTGTTTTTTTTAATTTTTATTTTTCCCATGGAGCTTTATATTATAGTCGTCCGATTTTGATTAAATTTAAACCGTAATTCTGAAATATTTGACCATTACTATTTTTCGAAGAAAAACAAAAAAAATTTTAAAACAGCAAAGTTAGAATTTTTTTTCATTTATTTTTCCGATTGTTCTTATGGGAGCTATATGCTATAGTCGTCCGATTTTGATGAAATTTAAACCGTAATTCTGAAATATTTAACCATTTCTATGTGTCGAAGAACTAAAAAAAAATAAAAAAACAGCTAAGTTATAATAGACGGACATGGCTAGATCGAATCTCCTAGTGATGCTGATAAAGAATATATATACTTTATAGGGACGGAAACGTCTCCTTCACTGCGTTGCAAACTTCTGACTGAAATTATGATACCCCCTGCAAGGGTATAATGTTTAAGATTTATAGTTACAGTTTACAGTTTACAGATGGACTCCCTGATTCAAAAAATGTCACTCAAGATTTTTTGTATGGTACCATTTTTTAAAGTGTGAATAACGTTGTTCACCTGTTTTCATGCCAATTTTATTTCTTATTTCCAGTTCTTTTTAACCGATTTCGGTCTTCGATAGCTTATTTAACTAGATTCCATTGGCGCATTAGCATTTAGCTAATGCTACTCTGACATATGAAAGACACGTACAGCTGATTTGGGTTTGTTTACTTTTGAGTTGTCTCAAATCAAAGAACTTCTAGTGTTGGCTATGCAGCTCGACAGATATTATGTTTAAAATTTATTAGCTGAGTAACGGCTGTCTTATAGTCTGGGAACTCGACTATAGCGTTGTGTCTTGGTTTTTAAATCGCCTTTATCAACTTTTTTTAAACATTTAAATAACAATTTTACTTAATTATATTTTTGTTATGTTAGGTTAGGTGTTTTGGTTTCAAATTGTACAGGAGAACTAGAATCTTGTTGTTTTTAGTAAAGAAAAACAGACGCATGAGCTTGACTTAAGTGAAAAGTTTGGTAGTTAGAAACTGCTATGTGAGTCATCTAAGCGTAAATAAACCGAGTCCATGGTAACGGGCACTTCTGTAAGGTCAGTTTCAGAAAAGGAATCTGTCATAATTTCAATTTGTATACCCTTGCAGAGGGTATGATAATTTCAGTCAAACATTTGCAACGCAATTCTTTATCAGCAGTCCTAGAATAGTTTACCTAGTCATGTCCGTCTGCCCGTCTACGTAAACTGGTCTCTCAGTTGTAGAACTATCTGCAAGAAACTTTCGCAAAGTTGTCTTTTTATTGCAGGTGGTATTAAATTCGGAACGAGCCGGATTGGACGTTTATATGAAATAGCTTTTTAACTTAGTTCTTCGATAATTGGTAGTGGTTTATTATTTTAGAATCACGGTTTAAATTTGAATAAAATCGGACGACTAGCTTTCATGGGTTGACCGGAACTCTAAATAAAATTTTAATTTCTCTCATTTTTTTAAATTCTTTCGGATATAACAACAGATTAATAATTCAGAATTACCCTCTTAATTTTATTAAGATAGGGAGACGATATCGTACAGCTACCCTAGAAACGATAGAATATTTGAGTTTAAATCCATTGTAGCTTCAATTTTTTTAAACATAAATGCAAATGTTTTGAAATTTACGTGTTTTAAAGAATAATTAGTTTTTGCAATAGCTGCAAGGATATACAAACTTTGTCTTGCCGAAGCTAGTTTCCTTTCTTGTTTAGCTTATAACAAGGCACTTGAATTTTAACGGGTTAATTTTAGGAACACCCGACCACTCAATTACACGTGCACGTTCATGGTTACAAACATCAAGACATCGCCAGCATATACATAAGTGCATAGTAAAGTCAGATAACTTATAAGGAAGGTCATATACATACAAAGTAAACAATAACGGGCCGAACACCGATCCTTGTGGAACACCACGGCTTACATTTTCAGATTAAGACGAATATACAAGCAGAATTTTTGAAAACCAGTTTTGAAAGCAGCACAAATACTAAATTGCTTCAGGGGGCGATTAAACGTCGACAAAGTTTTGAAAGACTTAATTAATAAAGTCAGATCGGTTAGGCCGACTGTTTTTGAATGAAAGTATTTATCCAATAAGCCTTTTTAATATATAAAATTTATATTTATATTATATATTAATATATTAGGACTTTATCAGTTACCAATTTTAATTTATCTTAAAGCGCTTAGACTTAATACACCCTGCGGTTTCAGTTATTAAGAAAAACATGTTTTAAGGACCTATGATAGGCAAAACTCACTTGCTTGACTTCAGTATTCAATTAGACATGGTCAATTCATGGTATGTTTAAAAGTCTTGTCTCGATTTAACTTTTCTTAATCTAAAGGCGACCTACATTTAAGCAAAGGTAAAATAAACAATGGAATTTAAAATGCGCAGTGATCACTTCATATTTAAATTATTGTATTATATAGACTAGTAAATCACAACGCAACTTTGAACGAGACTATAAATTTTTTGCAGATTTATTTATATTGTGATATCAAAATCTTTTATGACTATTAAAACTAAAATCTTTAATAAAAGATGGCTTTTATTTATTTAGTTTAGATATTAAGGGTGTGCGTGTTCTCGCAGCTCACGGTGCTCTGGCTTAAAAATTTAGTCGATTAAAGCATCGGCTGGTTGAAGCTAGCTTCCGTTCAAGCTTCATTTGTTCATTTGTTGCCTGCCGCTATTTTTGATAAGTGCATAATAATAGATATCAATAAAAGGTTTTTGCAGTGCATGTGAATTTTTGTTGCAAAAGAACGGGATTCCCACTTTAACATATTTTACAATCTAGTAAATTTTAAATTGATTGAAAAAAAATTTAAAAGTCACGATAGAGAAAATTATAATGTCAAGGCTAATAAACTACTTCAAAATTTTTAGACATGTGTGTTATTTACTTTTACACTTTATTTTCTTGCCATTCGGTTAGTCCAAATTTTTATTGTAACTATAAATTATTTTTTTTTATCATAGATAATGACGTCAAGCCACATTGGAATTTTCTAAAGGTATTTCTGTGTTTCTCTCTTGTCTTCATTTTTGCTTCTGTCAACTTTTTAAGGGTATATTGTATTCGTTGCAAATCCGTCAATCTGTCCGTCTGTATGATCGTCGAGATCTCGGAAACTATAAAAGCTAGAGACATGCAACTTGAGGAGTCACGCCCACTCGAACGCCCAAAAATCGTGAAAGTATGTAGTGCCACTCTTACACATGTCAGACCATAAGTGTTGGACTTTGTGTGCATGTTTCGGTCATATTTTCAAAATCAAATATTTTCAAAATTGAGCTAATATTTAAGAAGTTATCAGCCCTGTTACAGTTTTCACTTCCAAAAGGCTAACACCGATTCGAATTTCCCAGACCTGTTCCAATTTTCACTTCCGAAAGATTTACACGGAATCTAAGTTCCCTCTCTTAATTCTCTGTTAACTTCCGCAATAAACTCGGGGAAACTTTTCGGCAAGCATTTGGCTGACGGATTCAGATCCGTAAGAACAGAAATTAGTTCTTTTAAAATACTTTGTCATAACTTAAAGTGCAAATTCAATATTTACCTTACCTGTTTTAAGAACATAAAAGACTTGGTAAGTAATAACATATTTGACTTTTTAAAAATTATTTTGTGATGGAACCTCAGAATCGCGAGGATTCTAACCTACTGGAGTTCTGCAATTCCGCCGCCCCTGATCTAGTTTCCGAACGAATTTGATAGAAACAAAGTATAGGTTGTCATGGTACGAGCAAAAAATTATTTTTAGGGGCTTATTTTTAGCAAGCGCTTTTCGGTTTGTTTTATATGGTTAGAAGTGTAAAGTATCTAAGTTTAGTTCAGTTAATTGTGCAAAGCGTGTTGTGTTGGGACCTTTTTCATCGTCCTTGGCAACTTTGGTCCCAAACACTACTCATGAAAGGTTATCAACACTGGGGCCAAGCAAATGATTCACGCACAAAATTTAAAATACAAAATGTAACATGGTAACATGGGCAATCCAGGGATGCCCTAAGTCGGGTCCAATTTTCTCAATAAGGAAAATAAATAAACCTTTGTCAATCCGGTATGATTTCAAAAATCTGCAAAACTTTCAGTTATTAAAGTAATTTCGAAATAATAGTTACTTACTGGCGATCTGGCATATAAATAATGTTATCATTGCATCTTAAATTTCGGTTATTGCGTTTAAAGTCCAACAGTTGTTGTCTTCTCAACTCGTTATTTGCCAAAAGTTCCAAAAAAAATTGTTAAAATCAAACCAACAATCTTTGTATTATTTCGGGCAACACAGCCGATTTCCACACAAGTTGTTCAACACTATTGTTGGTCATTGTTAAAGGAAGTGATGAATCCCTTAAAATAAGTAGAATTTGTTTTTTTTTTTTTGCTACCAATGATTGTTTGACTGATTTTAGATCTGCGCCGGAAAATCAAGGTTTGATCGGTGGAGGATTTCATCAATTTAAATTTGTAAAGCAGTGTAACAAGGCTATTTAGTCGAAGTGTGGCCTCATTAGTTACCGTAATTTTTTGCTTTGGAAGGTTCGCTCCTCGAGAAAATAACTTTGCAGTAAGCTATTTAGTCGCCGATTTCAGCGAATTGCGAAGCAATATTTCATTGAGACTAATGCTTAGAATGCTGTACAATAATGTTGCTTAAAATGGTTTTTTAAAGCTTAGAACTGTTAATACTTTTTTAAGATTTATTTTTAAGCCCTTTCGCTCAGGACATTTATATTTGTGTATTTTAATAAAAAAGGCATACTTAACAGAGATGTTTAAAAATATATAAGTATTCGATTACTTCTTTGCAGAAGTTTAAATCAATTTGGTTTCTTCCGAATAGGTGGTCTCAGCTGCTTATTGTGCTTATTGTAACAAAAATAGTAAAATTTGGAAATCCCATGAATCCCTTTTATGTTTTTCCATATTTCTTGTAAATTTAGCTGTCTGGTATAACAACTTTTTGGACCTCGTTATCTGCAACACTTCTATTTTTATAACTAGTCTAACTCCATCGACGGATCCCTTTCCTTGTGAGCTTGCAAAAAAATGCATTATTGACCCGCACTGCAGGTGGTTTACAAAATCAAAAAGGGCTGGATAGTATCCATTCATTTTTAAACTGAGAGCAGAGCCTTCAAAAAAAATTCATTTTTTTAAAAAAATTCTTCCAATGCGGACAGTTTTCTTTGTGTTCCACTTTTTTTTGTCATATGCTAGAGGAGTAAACTGATATTTTAAATCTTTTATGCACTTCTAGCAATTGCTTTTCATGCACTACTAACGAGTAACAGGTATAAAAACAGCTAATCTTCAGAATTGTATTGTGTTTCGTACTAAATAATAATAATAATAACGTTTGGAGTTTAGCCAACGCAAACTGTGCACCCTGGTCCCAAAGTAGGTCAAAAGTCGGTTTTTTTTTTTGATTTAATATATGCCAATATGCAAGTTCATGCAATATTGAATAAAGAGTCAAAAAATCTACTAAAAAGAGATTAATTAGTTAGCTGATCGAAATGATTGTGAAGTAATTGGAATTGATTAAAATGTCAAGTAAAAAATATAAATATTTTTATAATTTCGACAAAAACTTAAAAAACGCTGCATTTTTTCGCAATGCGTTGCTTAGCTTTAGAATTCCTTTCGGTTACCCCACGGAAATTAAGTGATTCCTTTAAAATTAAATTCATTAGTCAGAAAACTACCAAAGTCTTTCGTCGACTTCGACCATTTTTGCTTTAGTTTTCGGGAATTTCAATTTTGAGTATGAACTTAATTTTTTCTCAAATCTTCTCATACTAAAACTGAAATACATACACAAAACTTATAACAATACATACACTGAAGAGCCGTATGATGTCATCATAAAAAAATATGAATAAAAAAATTTTTTTTTTTTAATTTGTGAATATGCAGATGCAAAGATGAATGAAAAAAAATAAAAACAAGAAAGGAATCAAACTTCGGCAAACCGAAGTTCATATACCCTTGCAGCAATTGCAAAAATTAAAGAACATTTAATTGAAATTATGATTTACTTGCGTGTATGTTTAAAAGCCTCGAAGCTATGATGATTTACAGCTGAATTATTTGAGTTCCTATGGCAGCTATATGATATAGTTTTCCGATTTTAATAAAAAATAAAAAAAGCGTAATTCTGAACTGTCAAATAATTAAATAATCAAAAAGAATTTCTAAAAAAATTACATAATACAAGAATAATTTGTTTTTTTTAATTTTTATTTTTCCCATGGAGCTTTATATTATAGTCGTCCGATTTTGATTAAATTTAAACCGTAATTCTGAGATATTTGACCATTACTATTTTTCGAAGAAAAACAAAAAAATTTTAAAACAGCAAAGTTAGAATTTTTTTCATTTATTTTTCCGATTGTTCTTATGGGAGCTATATGCTATAGTCGTCCGATTTTGATGAAATTTAAACCGTAATTCTGAAATATTTAACCATTTCTATGTGTCGAAGAACTAAAAAAAATTTTAAAAAACAGCTAAGTTATAATAGACGGACATGGCTAGATCGAATCTCCTAGTGATGCTGATAAAGAATATATATACTTTATAGGGACGGAAACGTCTCCTTCACTGCGTTGCAAACTTCTGACTGAAATTATGATACCCCCTGCAAGGGTATAATGTTTAAGATTTATAGTTACAGTTTACAGTTTACAGACGGACTCCCTGATTCAAAAAATGTCACTCAAGATTTTTTGTATGGTACCATTTTTTAAAGTGTGAATAACGTTGTTCACCTGTTTTCATGCCAATTTTATTTCTTATTTCCAGTTCTTTTTAACCGATTTCGGTCTTCGATAGCTTATTTAACTAGAATTAGATAATTCTTCAATTTTTAACGATAGGTTTCCTTTTATAGATGTTAGAGCTCGAAAAAGTTTGAATAAAATGCAAAAACTGAAGTTTTGACAACATAAATTGAAACCCGAAAATAATTTTATCACTTTATCTTGAAGTTGAAATATTCACGATAAAATAATAAATAAAATAAATTAAAAAAATAAAATAAAATTGACATGAAATCAGGTGAAAAACGTTATCTACACTAAAAATTAAAAATAAAATTATGGTACCATGCAAAAAAATCTTGAGTGTCAATTTTTGAATTAGGGAGTCCATATGCACCGAAAAATCAAGGTTTGTTGTCTGGAGGCTTTCATCGATTTGAATTTGTTCTATATTATTAATATTGGCAGCTCGGGACCAAAAGTTGATAAATCTAAACCACTTAATATTCTTTAGTGATAGAAAAAAAATATTTATTTCTTGTGGGTTCTACTTAAATATGCTTATTGTGCTTATTGTAACAAAAATAGTAAAATTTGGAAATCCCATGAATCCCTTTTATGTTTTTCCATATTTCTTGTAAATTTAGCTGTCTGGTATAACAACTTTTTGGACCTCGTTATCTGCAACACTTCTATTTTTATAACTAGTCTAACTCCATCGACGGATCCCTTTCCTTGTGAGCTTGCAAAAAAATGCATTATTGACCCGCACTGCAGGTGGTTTACAAAATCAAAAAGGGCTGGATAGTATCCATTCATTTTTAAACTGAGAGCAGAGCCTTCAAAAAAAATTCATTTTTTTAAAAAAATTCTTCCAATGCGGACAGTTTTCTTTGTGTTCCACTTTTTTTTGTCATATGCTAGAGGAGTAAACTGATATTTTAAATCTTTTATGCACTTCTAGCAATTGCTTTTCATGCACTACTAACGAGTAACAGGTATAAAAACAGCTAATCTTCAGAATTGTATTGTGTTTCGTACTAAATAATAATAATAATAACGTTTGGAGTTTAGCCAACGCAAACTGTGCACCCTGGTCCCAAAGTAGGTCAAAAGTCGGTTTTTTTTTTATGTTAATATATGCCAATATGCAAGTTCATGCAATATTGAATAAAGAGTCAAAAAATCTACTAAAAAGAGATTAATTAGTTAGCTGATCGAAATGATTGTGAAGTAATTGGAATTGATTAAAATGTCAAGTAAAAAATATAAATATTTTTATAATTTCGACAAAAACTTAAAAAACGCTGCATTTTTTCGCAATGCGTTGCTTAGCTTTAGAATTCCTTTCGGTTACCCCACGGAAATTAAGTGATTCCTTTAAAATTAAATTCATTAGTCAGAAAACTACCAAAGTCTTTCGTCGACTTCGACCATTTTTGCTTTAGTTTTCGGGAATTTCAATTTTGAGTATGAACTTAATTTTTTCTCAAATCTTCTCATACTAAAACTGAAATACATACACAAAACTTATAACAATACATACACTGAAGAGCCGTATGATGTCATCATAAAAAAATATGAATAAAAAAATTTTTTTTTTTTTAATTTGTGAATATGCAGATGCAAAGATGAATGAAAAAAAATAAAAACAAGAAAGGAATCAAACTTCGGCAAACCGAAGTTCATATACCCTTGCAGCAATTGCAAAAATTAAAGAACATTTAATTGAAATTATGATTTACTTGCGTGTATGTTTAAAAGCCTCGAAGCTATGATGATTTACAGCTGAATTATTTGAGTTCCTATGGCAGCTATATGATAT